CCCCAAAACCCCAAAACCCCAAAACCCCAAGTATATGAATCTTAGAATAAGAAATAGAAATTTATGTTTAAATTAAAACAGTAAGGCATTGATTGGTTTTGTGCATGACTAGCAATCAAGAATTTAAGTGGAGTTTGACTCATTCCTTTTATTCTTCCTTTTTGTATTTTCTTCTTGAAAAGAATGTATCTTCGGCCTTTTTAATTTAATCTTTAAGTGTCTACCTTTAGGTTGAGTCGAAGCAATACAATAGATTTTTCTTGAGATAATTAAGAGTCTTTATATCTGGGGAACTGTTATCAGGATTGATAAAATTGAGGATGTTTATAACTTTTTGCCATTATTGAGATTCTGTGAAGATGTAAACAGCAGAATCGAAAAGCTTGCCAGTGATTGTGATTGATTCACCATAAACTTTTTTCATGAGTTTCTCAGTCATATCAAGTCTGATCATTTTTTCTTTATCTGAGTCGAAATGCATTAAATTGAGACAGATCTATTCACAGACACTTTCATCAAACTTATATTTACCATCCTTATCTCCCATTAGTTTTTGATATAGATCAGTGAATTCCTCTAATTTTTTCTAGTTAGCAAAGATCTGAAGTCCGATCAAATTATCATTTGTAGTAATGTCAAACTTTTCCCTCATTTTCTCACTATAAACAATCTAGGCAAGTGTGTAAGATTGTCTTTCAATCAAATCCTAAAGTAATCCATCGTAAAATTCCCTCCTCTTTGCAGTAAGCAAGTTACTCTTATCCTATTAACTAAGATCTTTAGACTATTTATTGAGTTTAATGTTCTTTCTGAACTACTCAAAGAGTTTTAGTACTTCACTTCCAGTTTTATTTTTTAAGGTTCGAATGAAAATAGGTTAGATGAGATTATAATTAAAATCAAGGTTTTCAGTCTCAGAAGTCAAGAAAATGAACCTTTTGGCATCCTCTTCGTAGCCTTTACATTTTTCCAGGAATAAAACAAACTTCTGGAATGATTTATGATTGAGGTTATAGTTGTTTTAAACAAGATACTTAACAGTTTAGCCCATGAATACTGGATATTTCTAGTCAACTCCTATTCTAATGATCATATCGAGAAGTTCTGCATCAATATTCTCTTTCTATTCAAATTCAAGTAGGTGCTTTACAACCTTTTTAAAATGCTTTTTCTTTGGATGAAGTGCTAATGTCTCTAGAATTGATTTGTATCCGAAATAAGTAAGTGGAACCCTTTTTTGTGCGAAAATGTTTCCGATTAATATGTTTTCACCCTCATCTTGACCATCTTTTCTGAGATCTTTTGTTGTTATAGGAGACATAAACATTTTGTAGAAGAGTAGCTCAATATTTGGAATCAAATTGTTCAGTTCATATGCTTAGGATATCATTGCAATAATTAGTTGCTAGATCTCCTGGGGGTTATCCATGTTTAGGATGTATTCCTCTAATGATTTTTATGTTAATGTAAGATGATCCTGTCCTGTGAAAGCAAAATTTTTGAAAAAGCCAAGCTTGAACTATCTCTTTGCTTCTATCGCCTAAATTTCCCTTAATGATATTGCTCTTTCTTCTTAGACTGCTGCTGATTACGCTTCTGATAACTTCTCTGATTTCTAACTTTCAGAGCTAGTAACTTGCTATTAAGTGCTTTGAGATTTTATTTGACTAACTTTATCAAAGCTGATATCAAGTTCAGTTAGATCATAATCTGCCTCAGCTGATGCCTACTTTTAAATATCTTTCTAATCTAACTCATCGATGGTTTTAATGAAATCAAAGAATTAGTTCTTTCCTTAATCTTGTTCCTTGCTCTCTTCTTATTATTGATAAATAGCTTCTTCCTTTTGTTCCTTAGAAATTTGTTTGACCTGAGAAGAGAAACCCCTAGCTGAAAGTCTCATTGGTCTGATTGGAGCTGCACTTAAATTATTGAATTGGCTAGCTGTCTATTAGCTGCTTCTGGCTTCTTGTTATTGATTCAAATAAGATTATATTTTCTTTTGTTGAATCTTTGAGGCATATTCTTACCAAGTTTAATAATTCATCACTACATCGTTCAATGAAGTCTTCATTAAGGAATTAAGTGATTATGATTAGTCCAATCTAGAATCAAATAAATCCATTAATGTGCAAATGTGTGAACCATCTCCGTTCCTTAGGGAAATTTCTAGAGAATTAAGGTATCTCTTGGCAAGAAGATCGGCTAGCTATTGAGACATACCATTTTTTATGAGGTATGCTCTATTGTCTATCATGTTAGAAATTCCTGTCTTTAAGGGATTATAAAGTTATTCAAGGTTATCAAGCTAGATATCTTTAATGTTGAATCTTTCTTACACGTGCTTTCTAATTTCTTGATTTATAATAGTGAAATATTTCTCAGCTCTTTTGATATCTGGGTAGTTTTTAACTTTTTAATTTTCTAAAACTGAAACATCAGAGAAAGTATCAACAAATTGCTGAATTTTAAAGAACTCATCAGGACTACTCATTAACTTAGCAATTACATCTGAGTTTTGATACTCAGTCATATTCTGAAGGAAAGTCTGAATTTTCTTGAGGTTTTGAATGGAAGTCTCAAGCTCATTGTAATGTTTAATGCTGTCAATCTTGTCTACTCTATTTCTAAATTGAAACTCTGGCTGAGCTATGAAATCGTGATGAACTAGGTTATCCTTAGGGTCCTTAAGCTTTAATTCTTGTTCTATTATTGATCTACCAGTATTTAGACCTCTTATAAAGATCTCTTTAGAAAGAACATTTTCCAGTCTTTGAGACATGTGATATGGTAGGCAATCTAAAACCAATCTGGAGAATTCTTTCATATAGCCATCCATATTTCCAAAGAAATTGTGATTCTTAGCCATGAGCAGTACATTAAATGCTAACATGAATTCCGGATCCTCAACAAGTCTCAGAGCTGGAGTTTCATTTAAATCTTCCTGAATGTTATAGTTTAAAACTAATTGCCTTTGGAACATTTCTTTAATTTCAATACCTTCTTTCTGATTTAAGTAAAAACTTGGGTTGTCTAATCTAAATTGAATTTCAATAATATGAATATGGCTTACTGAAGGATTAAAGTAAGGAATCTCTCAAGAGGAATTGCTCTTGGTCTGTTAGTTACTGTCTGATCTGTAGTATTAATGTACAAATCTGTCAAGAATGCTTAGAATCTTGAGTTCTCATCAAGCTTATATTTTTGCAGCACACCTTACAAATATAAACTATACTCTTCCGACCCGAGGTATGTTAGGTAAGTCAACATAGATTTATGACTTTCAGTATAGGTTTTAGAGTCGAGTTGTTTACCTTTTTATTTACTTGCTAAGAGCTATCTCTATATTTGCTTTGTATGAAGGCCTCCCTCTCTGGTAATACCTTACTCATCAGAGACAGTTTAGGCTTTACTAATATTTTGATAAGCCTTTTCAAAATCATTGAAGAACCCTGGGTTCAGATGTTGAAACTCTTCTAAACCTGTTTCCTTCAGTTGCTGATAGTTGATTTAAGGAGTTAGATATTCTGGATTTTTCTCAATAACCAAATCTTCTAAGAACTTCTCGATGGTGTTTTAGTTCCACTCCCCTGTATACTTTTAATAATTATCTAAGACCTTTCTAAGCTTATCATCCCTTTACTTCTATTCCTATAATTCTCTTGCTTCTTCTTCTAGGAATTTCATGGATTTCTCTTCATCTTGTATCCTTTACTAAGTTGTTTAGAGACTATTCTTGTTTTAAGGTCCTTTATTTTGAGTTTGCTGTCTTTATTAGAACAAGTTTGTAGCTTGAGCAGGCTTTGGAATTTGTTAATTTTCTTCCCTTGTTTACTACTGCTACTACTCTTATCTTTTTTGTTGTTAACTCTAATGATCTTATTTAAATTTAAGAGTTCCCTCTCGAATCTTTTGATCGGTGGATCTTTTGAATAAATTTCCGCTCTAAGATGTTTATTAACCCTCTGTCTAAGGCTATCTTTGCTTATTTTATTGTTACTGAGGAGGTTAATTCTAGATTTTATCTAAAGAATAATCCTCATCTTCCAAATTAGTAGAGAATCGGTACACCTAGAGTGATTTTAGCTGCTTTACAGCAACCAACCTATGAATAGTAGTTTATAAATTCAAATATTATTTTACTAAGCTTGCTTTTAGAGTAGAAGTCCTCTAGAAATTTGTGCTCTGATTAAACTTTTAAGCATCATCTTTAAATAATTAATAATTAGACTACCACTAGTTTAATATTTATTTTAAATTATATAAAATATTACTTAATACCATTAATTAAAAAGGGTGTTTTAATTCCTATTTACATTTCATTTTATCACATTGCTAATGATATTTATTTGCAAGTAAAAAATAATCACAAATTTCAGCAGATTAAACTCTAGATTTATGCTAGAAAAAGGATATTAGCAATTGCTATTTAATTAGAAGAGATTTATTAAATTTAATAAGAGTACTGATGATGTTTAATTCAAGGATCTTAACTTTTTTGCAAAACAATTGAAAGATATGGAAGAAAAAATTCCTAACTTTAGTCGTGCTTAGCTACTACCATCTTAAATCAGATAAATTTATTATGAAATTGAAAATAACATGGAGAAAGTAAAACCTTAATATCTATCTTATATTGTGCATACACTGAAGAAGCATGGTTTCTTAAATGATATAGTAATTTAAAACATCATTTAGTATCTTAATCAAAATTATTCGTACATGGGAGCTGAGGATATAGCTAATCTCATTAAGGAAATAAATGAAGTTAATAACAGATAATACATATAATAGTTGAATTGGCCAGAGATAGAAAAGCACTTAATTAATAGAATTGATAGACAAGTATCTATTAAAATATCATTCTTTTACAATTGCAGTTTCTTGGGCCAATATTTTAGCGATAAGTTCTTCTAGTGGGTTTATGTTGAATCAATGAAAATATTAGAGTAATAAATTAACTATGACTTTTATCAATCTAGATGGATAGCACTAAATATTACACTCTTAAGTAAATTATACAGCTCAAATAAACTTACTCCAGAACAAAGTCAATAGTTAATTGATTTCGCAAAGGAATATGCACTTCTTATCCCTGATAAATATCAAAATATATCCAGAAGAGAAGTAACTTAAGGAAATGATTTCGCAACAATTACCTTTCATTTGAAGAATTTAGGAATAACTGATATGCCAGAAGTTTATGTTTACCTCGAAAATTAACTACTTAATTTTTGTGATAGTCTTAATAAAGTATCATTGATGCTACTAATTTAATCATTTGGGATCGGCTACATTCATTCCTAAACTTTATTCTTCTGGGTCACAGAAAAACTATATGCAAAATCAAATAGTCTTAGTGATCTTAAATTACATGAACTTGCTATATTTATTTCATGTCTCTCAAAGTTTTGGGTATTTTAGGCTTCCTCAAATTTCCTAGATTCCATCAAGGAAAGAGTTAGAGAATTCATTGAAGTTGATTAAAGTAATTAGATAGATTACTATATTTTCTAGCTACTAAAGATTCATAATTCAATTATTTAGCTACCTGAGCTCAGTGAGGAGAAAGAAAAGGTATTTATTTGATCAGAAATATAATTTAATTTTTTAGTTAGAGTCCCTATTACTCTAAATTGTGGATGAATCTGTTGGAATGAATAGAAGATGCTACTTATTGTTTTCCTTAATAAATAACAACAAATATGAAGTTGCTCAGAAATATTTTGACAAATATATAAAAAATCAACTTGGATTTGATCCTGAAAGAGACAAGCAAATGACAGAGTAAATGAAGAAACTAGCAATTTATGACTTGAGATTGATTTATTACTGCATTTCCCATTTCAATGTGGTTCATAAAAATTACACTGATCTAGAGTACAACACAGCACTACTTGGTGCAATGAAAGATTTAAAGCCCAATTAACAGATTATTAATATTTCAGATTTTTCAGCTCGTGCATCTGAAATCATTAAGGCTTTTGTGAAATAATATAATCTCGAAATGATTGAAGAGTTAGATGTTGGTCTCTATTTTATTGATATCTATATTCCAGAAAAAAATATAGCGGTTGAAGTATAGGGTCTACAGCACTTTTGCTGGAGATAAAATATTTAAAATGCAAAATCAATGGCAAAATAAAGATACTTGAAAGCTTTGGGATTTGAAGTAGTATACATTAATGTACTAGATATGGCCTCAACTAGGGATTATAATTTGCTAGACAGTATGGTATAAAATGCTATCAAGAATCATTTAGAATCTCAATGAGACTATACCTTTTCAATGATTAATATCATTATTAAATCATATAATGACAGGCTTAGCCACAATCTTAATTAATTTAAACTTTATTTCATTACTAGTTTAATATTTATCAATTGCGGGGTTTTGGGGTTTTGGGG